GGGTGGGGCGGCGGGGGTTGTGTGGGGGGGGGGGGGGGGGGGGGGGGGGGGAGCAGGATGTCCCCCATCCCCGGAGGGGGAAAAGGGGCGTTACCATGGGCAGAGCCAGGAGTTAGCCTGATCTGAGGAGAGGAGGAGCAGGCTACAGGTGTCCCCGGCCCGGCAGGGAGCAGGAAGACCATCAAGCAGACTGGGAGAATGGCCCAGCCAGGCCCCGCCTGGTGGCACAGGTGGTAGCAAACTGAACTGCAGTGCTGGAAGCCACGTGGCTGACTGAGGTTCAGATCCCCCTATAGGATCTCCTGAAAACAGGCAGGGCGTATGTACGTATGCCCGAGACCCTAAGGAGCTGGAGGGCTAGAGAAAGGGGTTCATGATGTGACGATGCCTTGGGAGGCTGTGTGGCTCTCTCTCTCTGCAGCTCTCTCATGTTCATGTGTCTTCTATCATAATTAGTAAAGAAACTTGAAAAGAAAGAATGATACAACGTTGGGTCTATGTTGAGTCTATGAGGCTTCCCCTTCCACAGACCTTGCGGCAATGGAAGAATTTGGGAGGCCATCTTGGTGGGTGGGTGTGGGGCAGGAGTGAGGGGGGCCGTCCAGGATGGCTCTAGGGTGCTTAAGGGCATCACCTCCTCAGGTCGAGAGCAGCAGGGCCGCAGTGGGACTGGTCTGCATCCTCACTGCCCTTGGGTGCTACAGGCAGCCTCACTGATGGGTGCAGTGTGGAGGGGGGGAACGCATGCTCTCTCCCCAGGGGTGTCCCCTGCTCCTACGCTGGAGGCGCTTCTCACCACCCTGCCAGTTGGGAGCACCCCCAAACCTTTTGCTCCCTTCACTTCTACAGGACCATGAATCTCCAGCTCTAGCCCTAACGGGGGATGGGGGCAAGAACAGAGAAACAACTAAACCAAAGGGCTGAGTGAGACCACACACCAGGAAACACGAGCAAATGATCATCCCTGTTACTTTAGGCTGACCCAGCCTCACCTTTCATAGAATCCCAGGGTTGACAGAGCCTAGAGATCGTTTGCTCCAGTAAGGGATCTCACCCATGATGTCATGAGGGGTCCGTCACCCAGACGAGGCCGCCGTGTGGTCGAACAAGCATTGCACGGCACGGCATCCACACCACAGGCCATAAGGGTGTGCACACTCATGACCGTCCGTCCCCCAGCAGGTGGGAAAGGAATGCCACGGAGGAAGGGAGTCCTTTTCCAATTTGCCCAAGTAGCCCCAATGATGGGATAATCTATCTCAATGGGCTAATTCCTGCCCATTATCAAGCAGCTCTCAGCAGGAGAGAGCTCCTCAGACCAACCCAATACTGGTCCCTGTGCAGCTCTGACTCTGAGGTCCCACGAACCAGCTGGGGTCCGAGAGATGCAGACAGTCATTGCCACCTATGAGGGCGTCTCTCTTTCAGACCCCTCAGTTTTCCCCAGTTCAGTCACTCATTTGGTCAACTGGCTCCAGTGTCCTTTAGAGTAGAGTCCCTGGGACCACTTGATCGTCCATGGGCATCTGTACACTGGCCCCTGACATTCTCATGGTCAGAGCCCACCGATCCAGCTGCAGTGACCTTCCTGTCTTTCCATCTGTTGTAGGTGCCCGGTCTGGAGGTCCTTCTCCCAGAGCTGATGAAGGGTAAGTATTTGTCCTGTGGCAACAGTGAGGTCTGCTTTGCTTCTGTCATGCCCGTGCACCGCGTAGTCAGCGCAGCACCACACATGTCTGAGGGTCTACACAGACAGCTGGC